TGCTCTGGGGCAGGCTGGGCTGGAGGGGGTGAGACAGGGTATGCAGCCCTTGGGTCTCCTGAGCCTCAGCAGCTGCAGTGACTATTATGGGTTGTCCTACCCCAGCACCCAGCTCATAGGAAGGCTTCGGTGATGGAGCAGTTGGACAAACAAAGTCTGAATGTATCCCAAGCCTGCTGGAAAGAGACTTTGACCTTTGCTGAACCACCACCAAGACCATGCTGGCCACCCGTCCTTTGCCTGCTCACAGAAGTTCCTCTGACCCTCGTGACACCCCTGCAGAGTAGCTCTTACTAACCGCATTTTACATACAAGGAAAATAACACTCAGCAGCGAGACAACCTCCCTATGCAAGGTGACACAGAATGACGAGGTAGCAGCAGAACTTGAATCTGAACAGAGATCTCTCAGCAGAGGGACCAGCAGTTGGTGTAATGGCTATGTCACTGGACTCCCATGTAGTCGACCGTGGTTTGAGTCCTAGACCCGGTGGCTTATACTCATGCCGGACGTGTGTGCATGCATACCCAAGATCCCAAGAGGAGAATGGAGGAGAAGGGATTGCAGTGTGACCATCCCCCCTGGGGAGTGATTTCTTGCTTTCTGTCTCTCTATCTCTCTCTGTCTTTCTGGGGAGCACACACGTCCTATAGCAAAAACCTCTCCCAAAAAAAAAAGCTTTCTCGGCAGAGATTGGAGCCTTTTCCTCTGGAGGTGGGTGTCTACAGGGCAGAGACCTGCAGGGCGTGCTGTGGCAGATAATCACACCTCATTCCCAGAGTGCACCATTCCTTGTCCCACCACAGCAATCCAGGGTGTAGCTCCGAGGAGCCCCACCTGAAACCCCACCTCTGCTCACTTTGAGACTGGCAGAGGCCAGGCCCCTGTGACTCCCAGGAGAGGCACGTGTCCCATCCGAGGACGGCCCTGGACCTCGGGCTGAGATGGAGCAGAGCGCGGGCCTTTCCTCAGTGGGCCCTCTCAGCTACGAAGCCCTTTCACAGGCAGTGGAAGTCCTTCCTCACTGTGACCCTGCGGAGGAAGGGGCAGGTACAGCAGGCCCACTTCTCAGACTGGGAAGCTGAGGTTGGCCAGTCCCCATCAGTTAGGAGCAAACCCAAGGCTCATGTCCATCTTCGGACATCATGCTCCCGACTTTCTGGAAGTCCTGAACGTTTTCCTGAACATTTTTTTAACTTCAGCAATGGAAGTGCTCCCCCTCACACACTCCCTCCCTCCACCCGCACCCCCATCCCTGCCTCAGCACTTCAACCTTCTTGAACAGACCGGCCCTGTGAACTCCTTAAGGCCTTAGGCCCTCTTTCTCTATGGTCTGGGTGTCTCTTTCAGAGTGAATGTTTAAATAAAGATGGCCGCAGTGTGGCTGTGGGTCAGCGGGTGTGCAGAATCCCTCCCTTCCTCAGCTGTGCCTCTTGTCCTCTCTCTGCGTCACTCACCTATGGTCTAGTTTATGGTAATAAGAACAAACAGAAGCGAATGCTTTGTCTCTCCACTGACCTTCTCCCACTGTCCTATCAGGCAAAGGGAATTACTGGACCCTGGACCCCAACTGTGAGAAGATGTTTGACAACGGAAATTTCCGCAGGAAGAGGAAGAGAAAATCGGATGTTTCCCCCAGCACAGGCTCCTTGGTCTCGGAGAAAGCCGAGAGCAGTCTCCTGACGGGCAGCCCCAAGACGACGGAGCCTCAGGACATGCTGGACGGCGCCTCAGCAGGTGCCACCAGCTCCCCAGAGAAGCCATCCTCCCCTGTCCCCTCGGGCGCCCCTTGCCTTAACAGCTTCCTCTCCTCCATGACGACCTATGTGAGTGGGTCGAGTCCCACGAGCCGCCCCATGGCCACCCCAGGACTGAGCCCTGAGCCCACCGACAAGATGGGGCAGAACTCGCTCAGCTTCAGCTCCTACACCCCGCTCACCAACCTCAGCAGCCATAGCGGCGGGGGGGGGGGGGGCCCACCCCCGCCCGCC